CGAGTCCCATGGGGGGGGGTGGCTTTGGAGGCCGTGGGGGTCTGCCTGGAATTCCAGGGCTCTTCCTGGCTCTGTCCCATGGCTTCCCCACAGCAGGAGCCCCAGAGTCTGCTTCAGACGGGTTCCAGCTATGACCTCAGTTTCCCTCACCGCGAAGCGAGGACGCGGGACCTGATCATCTCTGAGGTCCTTTCCATTCCGGAAATTCTTCCGGTCACCGTTTTCCGTTTAGACTGCGAAAGCCTCTTTACCATAAGCCTCACTCACATTTAGGCAGCTAGCGCCTAATGCATCTCATTCGAAAAGAGAGTCTACCCCATAGCCTCAGTTCCTAAAATCTGAAATGAAAAGAATAAAGAGTTAACATTGAGGGCTACCCTCTGGTATTAGTAACCCAAAAAAACGATGCGGATCTATTTTCTTTAATTCCAACCATATGAAGTAATGTTACATTTCCTTTTTCTATTTAAGAGGAAATAACACAAGCTCGAAAAGCAGTAAATATGTAAAGAGAAAATTTGTCAACTGATATTGGAAGATCTGACCCAGGTCACACATAAATCTCTCAGACAAGAGCTGCAGGGTAAGCCATAATTTCAGAGAGTAAAAGAGAAGATGAAAGCCGGAGCTGGAGTCGTCTTCAAGTTCCGTAGGTGGATTCATGTTGGTTTTCTGCTCGCGCCTCTGAACGTAATGTAAAAGGGCAAGTGGCAAGGTCTGTGGTGGCACTGTTGTGAAAGTGCCACCACACAGAGCAGCAGAGTGGGACCTCCACAATGGCTTTGATCGCCAGAGCCATCGCCTACATAGCAGAGGCGCCCTAAGCAAGCTTCTTTGCATTGGCTATTTCCTTTCTCAGATCATTTTCCACAGCTGTGAGTCGTCTCATAGGAGCTTTTCTTTTCTTTTCTTTTCTTTTTTTTTAAGAATTATTCAATTTTATTTGTCATTTTTATTATCTTTTAGTTTTCTATAGGACAGGTGCACTTACAAGGGGAGGGGGATGGGAGGTGAGAAGAAAGCAAGCCACCAGGTCTGGGACTTGAACTGCGGTTGGCCATGTGGGAGTTCAGTGCCCCAACCACCACACCACCTGCTGACCCCAGGAGCTTTTCTAATGTTCATGTATGGTCCTTGCAAGGAATAGCATTCATGAGCTATGAATGCTACACAGTGACACCAAGGCCCAGGGGACACTTGTGGCTGCCTTTTATGAAGTCACTCTTCCTCGTTGAAGCATGTAAAGGTCCATCTTCCGTCTGAATGTGGCATAACTGCCTTTGTTAGTGTAGCTTTCAGTCTTCCAGCCCAGGGCCGAAAAAAGGAAAAATAGCTACGCCCAGAAAAAGGAAGAGGCTCGCCTAGCTAGTCTACCATGCTGCTGGTTCTGGAGCCTGGTTAGCCAGGGCTGTGACCAGAGCAGCGGTGGTTCTGCTCGCTGTTCCAGGCTCTTGCTTATATATAGAAAACATTCAGGGGACCAGCAGTTAGTGTAATGGCTATGTCACTGGACTCCCATGTAGCCGACTACGGTTCAAGTCCCGGACCTGGTGACTTAAACTCATGCCGGGCGCGTGTGCATGCATGCCCAAGATCCTGAGAGGAGAATGGAGGAGAAGGGATTGCAGCATGGCCATCACCCCACTGGAGGGCGATTTCTCGCTTTCTGTCTCTCTGTCTCTCTCTGTCTGTCTGGTGAGCGCACGCACCCTGTAGCAAAAACCTCTCAAAAAGAAAAGAAAAGAAAACATTCAGCACAAGCAAAGTGTCTTACACAGGGACATGGACTTGGACCAGTTAGTTATAAAGGGCATTTCCTAGGTTGCGAGGTGCAGGCAGTCCATCAGCCCTACAATGTTACTGTGTTCCCGTGAACTCTCCTCTCACAGCCAGGCACTGGGAATGCAGGGCGGCATAAAGATGGGAGTTCTCGAAGCTAACATTTTATACCGAGTACCCTTAGTACCACTTTTAATGCGCTATAAAACAGGGGCCTCCCTCCACCATGAACTGTGTGCAAGAGCAGCAGCGACGAATGTGTTCGGATCCGTTTTATGGTTGCTGCGCCTGCACGGTAATGTGATTTTGAAAAAGGTAAACAACAAAGAGTTTAGCAGTGAAAAATATGCCTAATATAAATACAGTCATGTCCATGGCAGCTCAGAATTTGAAAAATATGACCGTGGCATTAAATTTTCTGGTGGAATTAACAGAGGAACAGAATACAGCCTTGAAGGCAATATATCTGAGACCCAGGAAGGAGATAATACATCTAACGCTATGGTCTGCATGGCATCCCTAGAAGGAAAAGCACAGTAGCTTTATTTAATTGAGAAAATGAATCAATTACAATGATGTTGCATCATCAGATTCCTGTGAAATAGAAGATGTAAGTCACTGTGTTGGGTAACAGTGTTAAAAAGTAATTGAGTATCTTAAGCATTTTGAATCAATTTCAGGTACCGGCACTGGTACCTTAATACAAAATTTATGAGATGATTTCATATAATATGTTGCCATCAAGCCGTATAATAAAACCTGGTCACAGCATCCCTCTTTAAAAACCTGGGCAAAACAGTATAGTTATAAGATCATAAAAAAGACTTTGATATTGCTGTTTTTCTTTCTGTTGTAATAATATGAGCAAATGTGAAAATAGTACAACTTAAAGTTGCTTTGAACCTGCAGAGCAGGGCAGGGTGGGAACCCTCTCTGAGATCTCGGTTCATGAGGAAATGTTCTCCCCCAGTGTGTTTGGTCTACACACCTCATGTGGCTGGGACGAAGTCTCCTCATCCGCTCCCAAATTCATCTCAAGACATCTTCCTTAGAAGGTTGGCTTTGCATTTTCTCAGAGAATGTTGTAATCCCCCTGATTCTTGGAAAAGTGTGAAGACATTCTCTTTTGACGTCATGAATGGATTTCTAATTTTTTGTTCACTACAAGTAATTCCTCTGGTGAAGCAGATAGAGCTTACTAAGAATGTGGGATGGGAGGAGTATCCATGTGTGCTTGGAAATAAATAAATGAATAAAAAGCAGACACGAGGTGATGACCCGTTACCTACGTCCTGAACAGCTCCCGGGTGGTAGCTCACAGCGCTGCGCCCACGTGGTGTCAGCTCTTAGAGCCTCGCCCAGAGGACTCACAGACTAGAGGAGCTGGAAGGAGCAGTAATTCCGAGCAACATGAAGCAGGAACTGTCCAGACTTAAGAGCTCGTCACCCTGGGACAGAGGGCAGCCAGTCGGGGGTGTGGTGGTTACGGTGCTGGATCCCACATGGCCAACTCTACAGGTCAAGTCCTGGAACCAGCGGCCTGACAGACCTGCTGCTGCTGCTGTGCGTGTGTGTATGCGTGCCCTCCCAAAATCCTGAAAGGAGGATGGGAGAGAAGGGATTCCAACAGGGCCATCCCCTGGGGATGATTTCTCGCTTTCCCTCTCTCCCTGGTTCTCTCCAGTGAGTGCATGAGCCCTGCACAAAATTAAGAGGAAATCAAAATAAACCTGGGGCAGGTTTCGGGCAGTGGTGTCTGGGGAGGTGTGCTGAGGGGTCGCGCGCGGTGACAAGTGGGCGCCATGTTTGTTTGAGGTAGTACCCGGGAAAGCACCTCTAAAAACACCGACGAAGTGAGTGGAGAGTCTGCGGGTCAGCCACACGGATGCAAAAGAAACGGGTAAATGTCGCTACTGCCCTCAAGAAGCCCCACTCTAGTTAAGAACCCACGTGCCAGCGTTGATCGCTCATCAACCATGCCATGCCCAGTGTTATTAAATGAGTGCGAATCAAGCTGTCTTTAAAGCATGTGATGTTGTGGGCAGGTGACACGGAGGTGCTGAGGGAAGGGAGCGCTGGGGAGGCTCGGGGACCGCCACAGCCTGGCCGAAGCCTTGGGCTGCATGGTCCTCTGAAGGCCCGGCTTCCCCATTGTATCAGAAGACGAGAGAAGACCAGGTTGTACAGATCGAATGAGAGTCTGGAAGAGTGTTTGAAAACACGATTGGAAACACATAAGAGATTCGTGCTATTTTCTCTATATTTTACCAGCTGGTTGGAGCTCAGTTATCCCAGAAAACAACTGACCCATCAATAGTATCTGATTCCTGGAAATTTCCCTCTTAGGAAATTTAGTGCCTGGGACTGCAATTACATTGAGTTTGTAATAACAGTTGGTGGTTTTGGATTTTTGGCTTTGGATTTTTGTTTTTCGGGGGTTTTTTTGGGGGGTGGCATTGAAGTGTTTAATACTTTAATTACTAAGTGGATGTCTTATCAGTTCTGTGTCATGTTGAGATGGCTTAGCAGTGTCAGAGTGTGGGCAGCCGGCCTCCGGAATGTCGATGAGAACAGGCACTCGCTGCATTTCGCTTTTATTCCCTGAAAAACAGTGTGAAACTTGGATGGGTTTGATTTTCCCAGAGAGCCTTGCTGCCCTGGAAACGGGCTGAAGGAACTTTGGAAAAGGTGGAGTCCTCACCCCACGCCTAAGTTCAAGGCAAATACTTCAACCACATAATTAAAGTTTTCTTCACAAAATAGGAGATTGTGAGCAGACGCTGGCGGGAATCCAAAATTCTAATTTCTGACTATGATTTAATTTCAATTTTAAATAAATCGGTTTTTAATTTAAAAAGAGTGAGCTTCATAACATTAGCAATGATTGCAACATTAAGCCCAGTGTTCACAATCTAGCAATATAAAACATTATTTATATCTGAATCGTAAACAGCCTTTTGAAATGGATTATGGTTTTTCTCCCTATTCTAATACAACCTGGAGGGTACTAAAAAGTGTTGTGTGAAATTAACATTCTGCTGACTTTCGCCTATAAATGAGAAGCGAGCTATTAACATTTGTGTATTTTCATTATGTAAATTGTGTTAACACATGCCCACAAATTGCCACCAGCAATGCAATAATTTTCTCTCAGTGATCATAATGTGTCCAAGTGAGTCATTTTGATTATGACATGCTAATTACATATTGCCTTTTTTCAGATTCAGAAAAACCAGGGATCTTTAATGGTAAGCTTTATGAGTTCAGAAAAAAATTCACTTTTCTTTTTCCTGATGGCTGCTCCCTTTGCATGCTTGAATGCCTTGTTTTAAACTTAGCAAATTGCATTTTGAAGAAAATGCAAACCTTTAACTGCCTGTATTAGATTAGGTACCATTAGAAATAATAGAACATCCTGAGCATCAATGTTTTTATAAGAGTTTGCTGGTGTTGATTAATCTTGCTATATTTTATTGCATTAATGATTTTTTCTTTCCACTCCACTGTAAGGATATTGCAGGGCGGCTAATACTTTTCCCTCTCTTCTTTCCCGTTGCAGCCTCTCCAGCTTCTTCAGTGCATTGTTGATGAGGTGAGGCACTGTCTTATGTGCTTTCACTCCTAAAGTCATTCCTAATGGTGTGGAAAGCTTATATTTTGTTTCCTAATGAAGCACAATGCCCAACATCCTCGGAGCAAGTTGTGTTGTGCAGCTCTGAGCTGTGTGACGTGAACTGGCCTTGTCCCGGATCCCGCTCTCCTCCTGCTGGCCCAGAAACCCTGCCAAACCAGGCTGTCCCACGGGCCGGTCCTCAGGGTATCCGAGGCCCCGAAGACAAAACCCAGTAATATTAATTGATCCTCTCCGGCCAGATGGGGATGGAGTCGGAAATTAAAGTGGTATCATTTTTTTCTACAACCGAGTTTCCAAGTCATCCAGTAGGCAAGGGTCAGAGCTGAACGGCACACAAGAAGCTGGGTAAGATCCGCTCTCCGGGCCTGATTTACCCAGCACGTGTCAGAGTGATAAAAGGGTTCAGGAACTCTGGGTCAACGGTGCAGTCTTAATTTCCTAATTAGACCTATTTCTCGGAGTATGCCCCTCACCTCTTGGTATTCTGGAACTGGAAAGTAGTAGTATCATGTTTCAAGTCCTCCCAGCCCTGCTCTTCCCTTTCCACTGAGTTCTGCTGTCTCTTTGCCCTCATGGAATTAATGTCCCTGCATTTCTTTCTCACCCAACTTTTTGTCCTTCTTATTCTGACTTCAGATTCCTTTCTTTAATCCAGCAGTCTTCTAGCACACGAGGTTCTGAAGAAACACGAAGATTTTTTTTTTTAAACTGAGTTTTCCTGACTTGGGCTTGCCTACTAGCAATGTTGTTGTTGTTGTTGTTTAACTTCAATTTTATAATATTTAAAACACTTGTAATTAGGGAGGGAAGGCGATAAATGATTCAGATAGGGAACTTTGAAAGAAAAAACAAACCGTAATTCATAATTATTCCTCTCAATTAAACATCTGTATAACCAGTTATGAGATTTGGGGGAAAAAAATAAAAGATCCTCCTAGGAAAAAAACAAACACACACACACTCGCAGTACTAATAAGAAGGGGGCTCTAACATCCTTAATGGTCGCATCAGTCAGTCCATCTATCCCCTGCAAGCCATAAACCACATTGGTGTAAAAATGAAGGCACCGTCCTGAAACAAATGGAGGCTCCATTATCTCCAGTATCAGACAGGCCTCCTGGATCTAACAGCTCATCAATATCTCCTGTCATCTTAGATTCCAAAAGCATCCTATCCCCATCAGGATCCTCCCAATTAAACTGAGTTTCCTGAGGTCTCCCTGCAGGAAGCGCCCAGGGAAGCTTGGCTTGCCCTGGTGGGTGCATGGCCTGCTCTGTGTCCCTGACTTTGCTGGCCGTGGACTCCTGGGCACCTGGGCACCAGGACCTGCAGGTAGAGACATTCCTTGCCAGTAAGCTACAAATGCTGAGGAGCTGCTTGGATGGCCTTCTGGGTCACATAGGTTGTTTTCGTTCCGTCAAGTACCACTGACTGCAATTAAATGTCAAATATTTTGCTCACTTAATTTGGGCAAAATCATGAGACTTTTGAAATTATTATAGAGTGAGTTCAAAGAAGGGAAGGTTGATGAAGAACAGTAGTTTGTGGGCCAGCCCTGTGGCCTAAAGTGGTTAAGGGAGCCAGATCACACTTAGCCATCTATGGTTCAAATCCCTGTTCTGGAAGGTTGAAAAACATGTGTTGTGTGTGCCCGAAATCCTGACAGGATGGAGAAATGGAGGAAAAGGGATTGCAACGTGACCATGTGCCATTGGGGTGTGCTTTCTCTCTCTGTCTCTCCCTTTGTCTCTGTCTCTGACGAGCTCACACAGCCTCTGTCAAAAAATAATTAATTAAAAAAAAAATTTAAGGGCCAGCAAGTAGCATGAAGGTTATGATGGCTAGATCCTACATGGCTGACTTTGTGGTTCAAGTCCTGGACCTGTGATGGCTTGAAAATCACGCAGGGTGTGTGTGTGTGTGTGTGTGTGTGTGTGTGTGTGTGCGCGCGCGCACATACACGCCCATACTCCAGAGAGAAGAATAGAGGAGAAAGGATTGTGATGTGGCCGGCCCCCTGGGAGGGCGATTTCTCACTTTCTCTCTGCATCTCTTTCGGTCTCTTTCCAGTGAGTGCATGTGCCCTATGGCAAAAACCAAAATATAAATAAATAAATAAATGGTGTAATTAATTGGGAAAAAAAAAAAAACCAGTAGTGTGTAACTTAAGTGGTATGGTTTTCTTTATAGCATTTCTTTCCCTGTCAAGAGAAAGATAAATCTTAAACACCAATAATCCCCATTTACTTTAAACCTTATTAAAATGTCTTCCTTGTGGACACTTGAGAAATTCACGTTGCCTCTACCAAAACAAAGTCGAACTTGGAACTGAGCTGATATTCTGAGGAAGAGTATGAGGGGACTAGCCAGTTAAGGCAGCTGGATTCCAAATGATCAACTATGTGGTTCAAGTCCTGGACCTAGTGGCTTAAAAAACATGCCAGGCATGGGTGCATGCATGCCCAAAATCCCAAGAGGAGAATAGAGAAGTGATTGTGACTTGACCGTTCCCTGTGAAAGATGCTTTTCTCACTTTCTCTCTCTTCCCTATCTCTCTCTCCAGCAAGTACACATGCTTTGTAGTAAATTATAAATAAATAAATAAGTCACTTGAACTACTAAAAGATAAAGTACCGGGGAGGGACTGGCCAGCGACCTGGCTGATGACCTGCCTTGGGTCAGGTGTGCATCTGTGTCTTCGGAGAGAGGCTGGGTGGGGACCTGTGCTTCCTATGCTGGTCAGACGTCCCACCGCTGTGACGTGTGCCTCAGGAGTGGTCCAAGGGCTGACTCCATCAGAACTACTTAGGGCTCTAAAAAAAAAAAGTTAAAAAAAAAATTTTTTTTAATTAAAAAAAAAAAAAAGAAAGAAAGAACTACTTAGGGCTCCCAGTTCCTGGCAATAAGGCACTGAGGTAGACTTTCTGGGGCAGTGCCCACTCTCACTAGCTCCCTCTCTGCACATCAGAGTGTGGGAGCCTCTTCGTAATGGCTTCATAAGGCTCAGCCTCCCCTGTTAGGTCCCACAGGGCAGTGGGGCATCTGCATTTGCATCTGACTGACATGGCTTCTCTTCTTTAGGGTACAGCCAGCCTGGATTTGAGCCATTTTACTTTTGGGTGTGGAGTTTACCCCACTGGGCAGTGGAGAACTGATGTTAGTATGTATGGTTTCCTGCTATAGAAAAGTCATATCAAGGGCCAACAGATGGCATGGTGGTTAAGGCACTGGACTCCCACATGACTGACCATGATTCAAGTCCCAGACCTGGCTGCTTACTTTCTTTCTCACTTTCTCTCTTCCTCTCTTTCTCTCTGATGAGTATATGTGGCCAATAGCAAATTAAAATAATAATGATGATCAAATTTACAAAATTTTTTTAAAAATCATATAAAAAAGCACTATCCCTGAGGGAGTCTGTGTCAACATGATTGACGCATCTGAAGTCATGTACGAAGCAGCCGTAGCAGCGCACAGTGTGACATAGTTCATCTTCATGCGAGTTCGGCTTGACCACATGCTGTGGCCTGATAAAGAGTGAAAAAGTCATAGAACAAGATCAGGGGGGCAGGAGCTGGTCCCGGAGCGGCCAGAAGTGAATGTCCCAGGAAGTCTGGGAGTCAGGAAGGGACTCAGGAGACAAAGGCAGTTCCTCACCAGGTGTCTGAACAGAAGACACCAAAACCAAACGAGGAATAAGAACTGTGACCGTGAAACACGGCCCCCGGGTAGGAGCTGAGAGGGCAGCCCAGTAACGGCATGGAGCTCCAGTCGGAAGTGGTGCAGTCCAGTTTAATTGTGGCAGGTGGAGCTGAGCTGGCCGTGAGCTGGCTGATGCCAAGGAGAGGCATGTCCTGGAGACAGCACGGTGGCCTCTCAGTTGCTTCTCTCCACAGAACTTCCTTCTTCCTTTCTTTAAGGTTTTCGCCACAGAGCACTTGGGCTTGCTGGAGGGAGATGGAGAGGGAAAGTGAGAAATCACTCCTCGGGGGATGGCCACCCGGCCATCCCTTCGCCTCCATTCTCCTCCTGGGATTTTAGGCACTCACACCACATGTGCCCACCTCATTTTCAGGTCTCCAGGTCCGGGACTCAAACCGCAGTCAGCCATATGAGAGACCAATGCCTTTACCACCACACTACCTACAACAATTTGCATTTTTTGAAAGAAGTGTTTCAAAAATGTTATCTGTTCTTGGCTGCCCTGTTGACAGAATGGTGACCATCATTTAAACACTGGACTCCCACATGACTGACCATGATTCAAGTCCCAGACCTGGCTGCTTACTTTCTTTCTCACTTTCTCTCTTCCTCTCTTTCTCTCTGATGAGTATATGTGGCCAATAGCAAATTAAAATAATAATGATGATCAAATTTACAAAATTTTTTTAAAAATCATATAAAAAAGCACTATCCCTGAGGGAGTCTGTGTCAACATGATTGACGCATCTGAAGTCATGTACGAAGCAGCCGTAGCAGCGCACAGTGTGACATAGTTCATCTTCATGCGAGTTCGGCTTGACCACATGCTGTGGCCTGATAAAGAGTGAAAAAGTCATAGAACAAGATCAGGGGGGCAGGGGCTGGTCCCAGAGCGGCCAGAAGTGAATGTCCCAGGAAGTCTGGGAGTCAGGAAGGGACTCAGGAGACAAAGGCAGTTCCTCACCAGGTGTCTGAACAGAAGACACCAAAACCAAACGAGGAATAAGAACTGTGACCGTGAAACACGGCCCCCGGGTAGGAGCTGAGAGGGCAGCCCAGTAACGGCATGGAGCTCCAGTCGGAAGTGGTGCAGTCCAGTTTAATTGTGGCAGGTGGAGCTGAGCTGGCCGTGAGCTGGCTGATGCCAAGGAGAGGCATGTCCTGGAGACAGCACGGTGGCCTCTCAGTTGCTTCTCTCCACAGAACTTCCTTCTTCCTTTCTTTAAGGTTTTCGCCACAGAGCACTTGGGCTTGCT